ATGGTTACAAAATATCAAAACCCAAAACCTGCACTCATACACAGCCCACGCACTCGCTCAGTATGTGAATAGGTCTACTGAGACAGCTGATTGCTCATTGCTGTCGCCTGTACCAGAAAACTGTTGTGCGCCATAATGTGATGGCCCAATGACAAACAGGCAGAGCCCTTTGTTATCTGATTGGCATTATGCGGCAGAGCCTCAAATTTCCCAGTTTGTATTTATTATATTTATTTTTCAGAAAAATACTGCGAGGCTGTCACTCCAGCACTCACTGCCTGTGCGTATTTTAAATTGAATTTTAGACCTCAGAAGTCAGAACGTGGCATACCTCTGAGCTCTAGAAGAACAACACTTGAACACGGACTGTATTAGACACAGTGTCACCTCGTATGCACACCACAACAGACCAGTGACTACACTGCTCGTCATATTGATCCACGCTGATTACAGCTGTGAGAAACAGCGATCATACTGTCGGACTTAATATTACAGGCCGAAAGCAAAAGAATATAAGGTCCTCCTCGCGTTTTATAATTAATATCCCAGAAGTTCCGAATATTTCCAAGTATGTGGTATACCCTTTGGCTTGCTTCCTTACCAGTCCTGCTCAATGCAAATGGCATATACAACATCCATGATGCCTTTGAATACGGAAATGCGCTCACGCGTGACTTTGGCAACGACATTGAAGCATTGGATGCACCAGAAGATCTGATAGATCTTGCTGGGAGGCTGCTCGAGACCGCACACCTGCCAGATGGTCTGGTATCACCACTCAGCGAACCCTCACATGGCAAATGCAATGGTGTAAATGTGTGGGCCGAACTAAACAGTCAAGGGTCGTACAATTATTCTGTGGATTTTAACAACATAACCAAAAGGCAGAAGCAGAAGGACAAGGCCCGTCATTTGCCCAACCCAGACGAAGTATTCGAACGATTATTCCGACGCAAAGGACCAATGATAAATGAGACAGAAATGGGACTAAACTTTCTTTGGGTATCCTGGGTCAACTTTTATTTCGAAGACACGCTGCGCACTAAGCCAAACTCTCAGGGAGCTCAACAGATGGATGCAGATTCACAACGAAGTAACCTCGCCATGGTATACGGCCGCAGCAAAGAACGAGAACACGTGCTGCGGTCGTTCAGCAACGGGAGACTCAAGACCTCTCGAAATAATCATGGCGAAGAGATGGCCTTAGTATGGAGCGACGTTAACGATACTATGGCACAGAGTGCAGCAAACCTCACCGAATGGCAGCTTTATGTACTCGGCGACAATGGCCTGAATAGCCATTGGGGGCACCTGTTCTGGGTAGGTATCCATCCGCTCGCTTTTGAAGTGCTGTGGCGTTTTTAACAGCGAAGGGTTACCCCACTTTCAGAATTCGAAATGAGGATCACATTTTAAAACAATTGAGCTTCTGTATTGTGTGCTAAAAACCCCCACATAACTAACTGATAATATAACATGATTGTGTAATGATAAATGATTTTTTTATCACGAGTATCGTAACCAACTATTCACGACCTTGCCCTAAACAACCCAGGTGAGTCTCTACACTCGCGAACACAACCGCGTGTGCGACCAGTTACTTCTCGGGGCCATTGACGAAGGTCGGGACTTAAACGAGTTGACTGATGAGCGGCTATTCCGCATGGCCCGGGTCATCATGACTACCCGTCATGCACGGGCGTTTCTCGAGAACTTTGCATCCGACATTGGATTGCGTGCCAATGGTATCAACACGCGAGTGCCGTTTTCAACCCTCAGCTGCGACGTACAGTCACGCAAAACCCGCCTACACAAACCGCCAGATTTCAGTATCGAATATCTACATGCGTACACGTTTCACCAGTCCATCCCTGACTACGTGCACTACGACACAGCTGCCGTGTCTGTGGCGCATGACATGTTTCGGAGACCACCAGCATTCGCTAACTACACCATGCAACAGCACGTCGATGCATTCTACCGCAGCCCAGCTGGTCGCATACAAGGAGACAACATCCCCGGGTACCTGGGGTTTGTATTCAAACAACAACTGTTGGATGCACGAGCAAATGGCCTGGCCAGTTATAAGGCGTACGTTGAACACTACTCCAGCCACAAACACACGGTGCGTACATTTGCGGATCTAATGCTCTCGGCGAGTCTGACCCAGGCAATCAGTGAGGTATATGACAGCGTGGACGATATAGACGCATACGTAGGCATCCAGCTAGAGGGCATGCTAGTGCCAACCACGAGCATGGCTGTGTCCATCACACGTGTGGCCTTGATACTGGGAAAGGTCATCCCTAACTTTGTGGGCGTGTCGTGCTATGACGACCCTCACTTGTACTCGGCGGAGTTTCTCACGCGCAAAGGCATGCAGTTCATCAACGGACCTTCCGAGGCACTGTGGGATTTAATGCAACACCACGTGCAGCTGGAAGACAATACGCCATTTGTAAGAACACACGAGTGGCGACATAGCAGAGGCGTAGGGGCCAATGCCGCCAAAGGCATACACGACTATTCCGTTAGCAACTTGGGTGACTACGCCGGACTGAATGCTGTGTGGAGTTATGCGTTGCAGTCGACACGAGAGTATTTATGGGTCGTCATTGCTATAGTGGGGTGCATGGTTATGTACGTGGTAGCCTATGCGATAGCCTCCTGGGCGCTCCACCGGCACTGCTTTGTACCAAGGAACGTCCTTGCAGGAGACATGCCCCTGCTCACGCACTACGCCGTACTTGGCGTGGCCCTGACCCTACAGATACCCGTGTACACCTACGTGTTCGCAACCATCCTGTTCTCCGACAGGTTAGACCGGGTGATGTGGTCGCTGTGGCCCCTGACCTTTGCGCTGGTGTCGTCGCATGCTGTGTTGTATGTGGCTGACATGGCTGTGCGCAAGCCAGCTGAGATGAAGGTGTTCCTGGTGGTGCATCACCTGTGCTGGTACGCTACCTACATGCTGCCTCTGGTGACGCAGGACATCTTCACGCTCAGAGTGGGGATGGTGGCCGACTACTTCACGGTGTACGAGGGTGGGCTGTACCTGCTCATGTTCTACAGTAAGCTTCAGCATAGGCACCTCTCGGATGCCCAGGCATGTCTCGGGCGTGCCGCTGTGTGTGTCTTTGCCTTCACCCGCGTGGTTCAGATGGTGCTGCTCATTAGCATGTATGTCATGGCGTATACACGTATGGTGAAGTATGGGCACACGGGGGTGTACGTGATCTCTGTCATCAAGATGTCCGTTGTCATGCTGTCCCAGGTGTACGTGCTCTACCTGTACTCACAGTGGCCTTCTCTGTGGAAACGGGACCACCACAAGACATCAGGTGCAGCCAATGCGATGAAAGACTCAGCCCAGGACAAGAGCAACTGCACAAGCATCCATAACATGGACACAGTGCGCGCAGCTGGTTTACTGTCGAGTGTTTCCATGGCAACCACAGAGCAGGCAATGGCGCATAACAAACTAAGCGACATTCATTCACAAGCACACGGCCACGAATGACAGCCGAACGGACATAAAATAAACTCTAACCCCTCTCATTCCGTCAGCATCCATCTCTCACTCCATTCGCAAATGTGTTGTTGTGTTGCGCTGTAAGATGACCACACGCGCATTTCTGCGGTGTGCTTGATTGCGTCCCGCCCATCCATCTATCCATGCATTTAGCATGCCATGGACTGTCCACTCATCCACTCATCCATCTATCCATGCAGCTAGCATGTCATGGACTGCCCATTCATCCACTCATCCATCTATCCATGCATCTAGCATGTCATGGACTGTCCACTCATCCACTCATCCATCTATCCATGCATCTAGCAGTCCACCCATCTGTGCATGACACCACATCACTAGTAATCTCCTGGTGCAGCCCAAGACATTGGCCCGTCATGGACTGTAGACCCCCATGGCCCACGTGTGAACGGCACCTGTGTGTCCTATAAACCCTAAAACCCTACAAGCCTAACCCCTCAATTGTCTAATGTCTCCGCCCTTGGGATTTTTATCCTAAACCATAAAACCCTGAATCCTGTGGGTACTGGTGCACTGGTGCTTGAGAATGATTGCCCTCGTGTGTGGTGTGTGGTGTCTTTAGGGTTTAGGGGTTGGGTGATCCTGCCATGCGCATCTCTCTATCAGTGTCTGCTGATGAGCGCAGGTGCTCTCACAGGTCTGTAACCTCGTGTCACCGTTGTGCACGTGGCCATTCACGTCACGTCTGCATTGTACCTTCCATCCTCCTCCTAGTTAAACGAGACTTGCGTGTCACGCTTTATTCACACGCCTACACCGCTGTCCAAGCATCTGCCCATACGCACTGCATGTACATGTGTTGGTTGCCCTTACTAGACACCCGCATCTCTCATCGTTTCGCAGCTGTGGCTGTTGTGGGGGTAGCCCCTTCCGCCTGGCTGTGTAGTGTCGTATTGAGCTGTACCGTTGCCATCGCTGGCCCCAAGCGTATTGCGTTCATATGTACACCACGTGTCGTGTGGAGTCTGTGCACGTGCTAGTGTACGACGTAGCACCGGTGTGTACTCAGCGGACGCAACTGTTATGCCGTTGGATGTTTGTGACGACAGGGCTGATATGAGCGTAATTGAGCTCTGCCTGAGGAGAGACCTTCCCCTGTGGTGCCATAACTACGTCTAATCTACAACAGACGGCTTTTCATACGAGTGGTGGTGCGCTTGTGGTATGCTGAGAGGTAACTGTCGCTGCCATCAAGTGCATGTGCATGTTCCATTGAATGTGTATGTGCATGCTCAATTGAATGTGTATGTGCATGCTCCCACCCACATCAGGTAGGTGCGTATGCCTTTGACCTTTCCCTCTATCGTGTTTGCCACAGTGTGCCATGGTGCATTTGTTTGTGGTGTGTGTCACATGGCTGTGTCCACACGTTCTCTGCTGCGATGGTGCAGTTCCCATCTGACGTCGTCTCCGTTAACTGTGTCGTGGTACATTCGTTCGTTGTGTCTGTGTCGTGACTTCTTGTATCTGTCGTGTGTGACTAGGCGTGTGATCAGAAGTACCGCCACAGGCACACACACCAGCACCAGGATGGGCAGCAACTGTACGGAAGAAAGATCAAACAGTCGGTTGCTAAGATTACATGACTGATTGGGGATGCTGTAGTAGACCCACTGTTCTCAATGCAGATACAATGCAAAAGGTGGGCGTTTGGAGAGACAAAATGGGCCTTGACGCACGTCAATTAGGTAGTCAACTCTACGAATATTAAATGGAACAAACACGAAAGTGGCAAGACGGATAAGCTTACTAGTAGAAGCCCAACCAACATTTATAGTACGGGAATCATGTGAATCGTGAATAGGACTAATGTTTTATAACCAATGGATAAGACATGGAGCGTTACACCAACAAGAGGACATAAGCCATCCACCTGCAGCCTACTTGTCACGAGACCAAACGGCGATGACATAGCCATTGCAAATGTACACGTGTTTGTTGGACTATAAAAATGGACTTAAAACGGAATGGACTTACAAAGTAGAAAAACATATAGATGGACTTACAAAGTTGTAGACCTGATGGAAGACGCCGTGAAACTGCATAAACCGCAGATAGCGCCCCACAAACACCGACGACTTCATAAATACCACTGTGCCCACAGCCAACGTCAACAGCCTCTCCCACCACTGTCACAGTGCCAGACGAAGACAGAGAGTGAGTGAGTGAGTGAGTGAGTGAGTAGCAATATGACTTTTGAAACCACTGTGCCCACAGCCCAGGGAGGCAACAACCTCTGCTTATACAAGTACAAATTAATGGACCGGAACAGACTACTTTTATGTATAACTAAGTAAATGTACATAGAACTAAATAAATGTACATACAAGTAATTGAATGTATATAGAACTGAGTATATGTACATAGAACTAATTATACATATACATATACATTAT